GAGGTTCGCCGATGTTGCACTTGGAGTAGAACGGCCCTATGAAGGACGGGTCGGGCTTCTCGGGCCACTGCGGCACCGGGAAGGACAGCGGGTAGTGCTCCCAGTTGAAGGGCGCGTCGGAGAAGCCCAGGTAGCCGTTGAGGGAGACCTGTGGGGGAGGAAGGAGGGAGGTGTGGGTTAGGAGAGAGGAAGGGAGGACGGGTCGGGCTTCTCGGGCCACTGCGGCACCGGGAAGGACAGCGGGTAGTGCTCCCAGTTGAAGGGCGCGTCGGAGAAGCCCAGGTAGCCGTTGAGGGAGACCTGCGGGGGGAGGAAGGAGGGAGGTGTGGGTTAGGAGAGAGGAAGGGGGACGGGTCGGGCTTCTCGGGCCACTGCGGCACCGGGAAGGACAGCGGGTAGTGCTCCCAGTTGAAGGGCGCGTCGGAGAAGCCCAGGTAGCCGTTGAGGGAGACCTGTGGGGGAGGAAGGAGGGAGGTGTGGTTAGGAGAGAGGAAGGGAGGACGGGTCGGGCTTCTCGGGCCACTGCGGCACCGGGAAGGACAGCGGGTAGTGCTCCCAGTTGAAGGGCGCGTCGGAGAAGCCCAGGTAGCCGTTGAGGGAGACCTGTGGGGGAGGAGGAGGGAGGTGTGGGTTAGGAGAGAGGAAGGGAGGACGGGTCGGGCTTCTCGGGCCACTGCGGCACCGGGAAGGACAGCGGGTAGTGCTCCCAGTTGAAGGGCGCGTCGGAGAAGCCCAGGTAGCCGTTGAGGGAGACCTGTGGGGGAGGAAGGAGGGAGGTGTGGGTTAGGAGAGAGGAAGGGAGGACGGGTCGGGCTTCTCGGGCCACTGCGGCACCGGGAAGGACAGCGGGTAGTGCTCCCAGTTGAAGGGCGCGTCGGAGAAGCCCAGGTAGCCGTTGAGGGAGACCTGCGGGGGAGGAAGGAGGAGGGAGGAAGGTGTGAGTTAGGAGGAGGAGAGGAGGACGGGCGGGGTGGAGGGAGGGAGGAAGGTAAGTCAGGAGGGGAAGGTCACAAGGCAGGAGGAGGAGGACGGGTGAGTCAGGAGGGATGGAGCTGGAGGGAGGGAGGGAGGGACGTGTGGGTTAGGAGGAAGGGAGGAAGGTAAGTCAGGAGGGAAGGTCACAAGGCAGGAGGGAGGAGGACGGGTGAGTCAGGAGGGATGGAGGGAGGGAAGGTGGGGCTGGAGGGAGCAGGGTGGGGCTGAAGGGAGGGAGGGAGGACGGGTGGGGCTGGAGGGAGGGAGGACGGGTGGGTCAGGGGGAGGGGAGGGAGGACGGGCGGGTCAGGAGGGAGGGAGGACGGGAGGGAGGCTGGAGGGAGGGAGGGGGGAGGGAGGACGGGCGGGTCAGAGGAGGGAGGACGGAGGGAGGGGGGGCAGGAGGGAAGGCAGGTCAGGAAGAAAGGTCACAAGGCAGGTCAGGTCAAAGGCAGGTCAGGAGGAAGGTAGGTCAGGAAGGAAGGTCACAAAGCAGGTCAGGAAG